GCTATTGGCAACTTCTTGTTGATCTTGCGCCCGTGGCGGATTTGTTTGACTTCGGTTCATGTGTCGTGTTGATACCATCAGTCACTGAAAGATCAGTTTGTTTATAATAGGACCAGTTGTTCCCACAGACGGCGTCAAACTGATGGTGTATTTCAACGTGATGCAATTTTGTGATGACGAGTTAATGAAAGAAAAAATATTGAAATTATTGGGATCTGAGCTACTAAACTCAAGGGAATGATACTGAGAATTGTTAGGGAGTTGGGGAATTAACACAGTAGAAATATAGTGGTTCACCAGCTCGGGAGCTCGGCTAATCCATTCTTCAATGGAGATTCTTGCTCTTTTCTTCACTATTTACTATACCAAAAGATTTACAGAATATAAGATGTGATACTAGGGTTCCGCCCCTTTGTTGGGGGCGTTACATAGTATTTATAGGGGTGACCCTTAATCTATGGGATCTAATCCGTGATCCTCGCCATCTATTCGAGGAATTCTCCTTGATCTTAGGAGAGTATCTTGGCTGGTTGAGGATTTTGTGCCTTGAATGTTACTTCAAATCACCTGTCGAGTTCTTTGTAGTATCTAGTTGCTTCCTCATTGCTTCAGCTTATTATCTCGCTTGAGGGGAGCTCTAGCTCTGATTTTCTGAGCTCTGCATACCTCTGACTTTCTGAGCTCAGCATACCTGACCTCCATGTTTGACCTCCGTTACTGAGCTCCTGCTCGAGAATCATTCTGAGTATCATCAAAAGCAATCACGGTGGCTGCCTTAGCTTTATCAATCAAGCGATAGGAACTCTCAACAGAGACTACAATCCCTTTCTCCTTCTCTCTGGCCTTGCTCACCTCTTCTTTCGAGACCCTAAAGGCTTCCTCTAGGTCACTCTTAGAAGACCTTCCAATCGATCAAAAATTCTAAATATGATCCAATTTTGAATGAACTTGCTTGCATTCCTCTTCGTGAGATAGCAGCTCTATTTTGGAGAAAATAGAGTCCTTAAAAGAGGTCTCAAGCTTCTCTTTCAAAGGATTATCTTCCATGAAGGTAGAGCATGTCATCCTAGTGGCCAAGATGGCAATCTAGCTAAGGAAAATACATTGGGTCATTAAAAGCAAAAGAAAGAGGAAATAATGAAAGAAAGAAGGTCAGAATGATCATATATCTTGTAGAACTAGTGGACCAACATGTTGGACATCCTCATAGTACCTAGCTTCATTACCTCTTAGACCTCAAGACTATAAACGTATTCCTAAAACTCATTAGAGCAAGGTATGCATTGCTCCACATACTCTCTAGAGCACCACCATAGTTTGCAACAGCAATAGATGTGGAATGCCCTCTATTTGTTCGAGCATCTGCATTTTTTCTTTTATAATCTTTTTCCTTTTATTGACTTGGGATGTGTCGGGGGAAGATTCAATATCCAAGGGAATCATTTCAGAGGAAATAGCAGGAGATATTCTTGTTGTAGGAGATCCACCTGATCTCAATCTTTTAATGATGGGCAGAGGAAGGCTAGTTAAGCCTTTAGCAGACTTATGAGCCCAAAAGTCCCATAAGGATTTCTTGTTAATTATTTTTGGGGGGAGGGGGGGAGACCTATAAAATGGAAATTCAAAATTAGAAACTCTAGATAAGAACCCTTTAATTGAGGAATGAAGTCCGCTACCTACTTTTGAGTGGCACAACAACTTCAACCACTGTTGTCGAGGGTGCTATGGCGAGTTGGTACTTAAAAAATTTGGAATCTATAACCAAGAGACCAAATTCCTTCGTATTATAGCTTTGGACTACCTTTAGCCGGTTTAGAAACTCCTCTGGAAGAAAAACACTATCAACTATGATGAAGAAAAGGGTCAGCTCTATGCTTGTGTAAAATGAAAGGCAAGAAACAAAATAAGCTCACCAAAGGAGGAAAACAAGGTTCCCAGACATGAAAGGATTATAGTAGGGTTAGCCACAAGAGATTTAGAGGTACTAAACTCCCACCTTGAACCATAAATGAAGAAAATTAGGTCTTTCACTCCTTTGGAGAAGAAATCTTGGTCAATAGATCATTATTGCTGGGCCTTTTGGTTAGATAATACCAACCAATGCTTGGGCTATCATCGACTTTGATCTTGAAATAGTCCAACACCTTCCCCACAAAGGGAAATACACCAACGCTAGGGGCAGAGCCCTAAAGAACCCCCAAACCTATCAAAACTCTCCAACTATTGGGGATAAGATGGGTAGGAAAAATATTAAGAAATGAGAGGAAATTGTGAATAAAGGGGTGGATAGGGAAACTGAGCCCATAGATTACAGACCTCGCCTTCAATGAAGTCATAAGACCTCTCATCATTCTTGAGGACTTTAGCTGAATCAAACCTAGGAAAAAAATTTAGCCCCTAATCTTTTCAAGATATTTTTCCGTAATGCTACTAGGAACCCCCTTGGCATAATACTCTAGTTGAGTAGATTACTCTGCAGAGGGATCCTCCAAGAAAAGCTTTGGATCTTCATCTGGAAAGTAAACCTCGCAAACCAAGGGCAGAAGAAGATCAAAGGAAGATCCTTCAAAATTGGTATTGACAATTGAATGAAAATAGTTGTGATAGTATAGAATGGAGGAGGAAGTGAACAATTAGAAAATCGAAAGAGGTTTGAGCATGAATCGAAGATTCTTGTAAGGTGATTAGACAATGGGGGATTCTAGAAAAGCCCTAAGTTTTTCAAGATTTTCTTGTGATAAAGCAAAATCATTAAAAGAAAAATTGGAAAGGAAGAGCCTAACCGAAGTACTTCAGAATGAAAGATTCAAGATCGCACAAGAGGAGGCTGAAATCAATTTTGCAAGATCGGGAAGGAGGTTTCGAAGTCAAGTGCTACTTGAAATAAAGCTCCTGTAGGTTTAAATAGCCGGGGAATGTGGGTTGAATAAACTACTTCATTTAAATTGACAAGACGTGCCCATTTAGGTCGTTTCCATTTTCCAAGGAAGTAATAAAGAACAAACAACAGGAAACATGATGCACGACTCAACCATGTTTGACAAACCTGATTAGGTGCAACTGATGTGAGAAAAAAATCAATAACACCGTTGAGAAAGCTCTAACAAAGGCAACCCATTACAAAAGTTATTGATGGGTTGTCTGCCAAGCTTCAGTCTAGATAGGGAAAGCTCTGAGTTGCACTGATCCAAGTAATCAGCGCTACCCCGTGCGGCTGACTTATGGACAAAGGCCAAAAGATAAGGTGATTAGCTATTCAAAAAGCAAAAAACTCTTTAGCAGAATCTCCATTTGGAGGAAAAGAGGTTAAGACCTTTCATCCCAGAGGAGTCTCAACCTCCTTGATAGCAGGAGAGGGAGTCAAAGACTCCTCATGTGAATGGTGTCTCACCTGCCTCAAAGGATGGTCATGGAGACTAGACTCCTTAAACAGAAGGAGTCTAATTTCCCAACAGTAGATGGGGGAGCCTAGAGTCCACTCCCTTAAGGAAAATAATTCCCAATCTATAAAAAGGGAGTTCAAGGGAAACAGAAAAGGTACACAATTCTGTTTCTAAATATACCTCTCCAGGTTTCTCCAGAGCTCCCCCCTAAGGCCTTCGACTTCTTTGCAAGATTCCCAAAGCTCGCAAAGCTAACCTGCATCTTCGAAGAGATCACCTAGACCATCGGAAAGCTGACTTGGAGGTTGACAGAGTTTAGCTTAGTTTATGTGGAGGTTGGGGCAAATTTTTCACCAAAAAAACTAATAAAATAAATTTGGATATTGAGAAAAGTTTGAGAGTAGCTTACCACCTAGTTGGGTTTTAGAGTAAACTAGGGGAAACTCATATAGGAAGGTACGGTGTAATATAAGTGAGAAGTGATGGATTGGGAGAAGAAATTCAATGTGAATGACTTTGAAATAGATGTTGATGGTCATTTGATGAATCTATTTAAAACTGTAGAATATGTTTATTGAAGTCTGTTATATTTTATATTATAAATTAATAATTCTATATCATGTTGCCCATGTTTTCTTCAAGTTTTTGTCCAAATTTGGGGCTTAAAATTGGTGTGGTCCAAATTCGGGGATTAAAATTGGTTGTTGGATTCTAAATAGAGGGAATGTTATAAATATAAGCTCAGGAAAATAAATTCAAAGGGGAAAAATAAATTCAGAAGTATGTACAATATTGAAATGATAAGATATTTGGATCGTACTTTTAATTAAGTTAATTGATTCACCCATAACTAGGTTTCTCCAGATTTTCGTAGATCCATAAAAATTTATGACCGAACTTCAATGAAATTACCGATAAATTATAAGTAATCAAAATTGAAAATTTTGAAAAGAAAGAAGATTTGAATCAGATTCCTTTGCCTGTTTTTTATGGTAATGGAAGGTCAATAGTAAAGCCACCTTTATCACTTCGCTAACTAAATCCCTCTTCAAGCCTCAATAGAATTTTACTTTTCTTAGTCTTAGTAGTAGCATGAATAAAGTCAGTTTTTTTATGTTGTTGTAAACCTTTTGTTATACTCGGTTGACTTTGTCAACAACTAAACGAAGCGTTGATAAAATAAAACAACCCTAGTTATTGAAGAGAGCTTACCGTCCTACTCTTGTAGTCGCAATTGTTATCAAGAAAAAGGAGTTTGCTTTCTATCACTGAACCTTGTTTCGCACGCCCTATAGCATAAAAGCATTCGAGCCACATCTAACTCAATTAATGGTAACACCTCCTACTATTTTTTATGTGGATACGTTATTTATTCGGTTCTTATCTTACAAATCTTCATTTAACATCTAGACAGATGTGAACTTCTGAGTGCTTTAGTTCTGATAAGGCATTGTTGGCTGTGGTATGGCCGGTGTTGATTCATTTAACCAAAAAAGGAAACCCATCTTTCTTCCGATTTACCCTCCATCTATTTTCATGCACCAAATTTTGTCCCATACCAAAAAGACTGTTCAAAAAATTAATTGTAAGCTTAGCAACATGAAAGAGAATTAAAAGATGTTCTTTATATGGGCTACTGCAAAGTGCAAAGGTCGTTTCGTAAACTAATAAGGGATATCCATATGTAGAAATCCTAGTAATTGTGAGCCATAATAAAATGTTGGACCAATATTAGAATTCTAAAATGGTTAGCGCCCTAAAGGTTTCTTTTTTTTCCTAGTTATTTACGTGGTAGCAAGAATCTTAACTTGATTGTCACCCACCCTTTTGAATGTGATGTCAACACCATATTCTGCCAGTATTATATTATTTGACTGTTCTCATTTTTTTTGGTTTAGTACTGATGGGACTGACAAACATTAGATTTTCTTTTTCTTCATTCATCTAATCTTTGATCAACCTAACATTTCTATATTGAAAATGATTAAACTTAAAGCAATACACGTACTTAAGTTTTAAAATCTAGAGTGCAACCCTCATTATGTACCAGCTTGAACTGTGTTTTTCTTTTAACATAGGTGGGTGTAACTTGCAGGTAAAAATTATTTCACATGGCGTGGGCCGAAACCAGAAATATTCATCAGCAACCCTGAACTTATAAAGGAGATTTTTTCTAAGAATTATGACTTTCTGAAGCCTACAAGTAATCCACTACTCAAGATTCTAGCAGCTGGACTTGTTGTCTATGAGCGGGACAAATGGGCAAAACATAGAAAAATAATTAATCCTGCTTTCCATATGGACAAGTTAAAGGTAATTTTTGATCTTGTCTAATACCATTGTAGTTAAGATGAAATGCACTAGCAAGATAGAATAAACTAAAAATGATCTCCAAATTATTCCAATAGGAGAGTGCTTCAAGAAATTTAGTTCTAATAATTACGAAATACTAGTAATTTTTTATTTTATTTTATTTTATTTTTTGTATTTTCATGTAGCATGTGGTAGCAGCATTTTATATGAGTTGTAGTGAGATGATGAGCAAATGGGGGAATATGGTCCACATAGAGGGGTCATGTGAGTTGGATGTATGGCCATATCTTCAAGATTTGACAAGCGACGCAATTTCGCGCATAGCATTTGGTAGTAGCTTTGAAGAAGGAAGAATAATATTTGAACTTCAGAAACAACAAGCTGTGCTCATAATGCAGGCTGTACGATCAATTTACATTCCAGGATTGAGGTAAAAATCAATTAGAATCCAACAAAATGAGGTTAAATGTTAAACTGACGGCCGAAGATCTATACTGTGCATATTTTTTTCCTCATTGTTTATTTTGGATGGTTACTAAATTGGTTTATAAATGTTTAGGTTCTTGCCTACTAAAAGGATGAGAAGAATGAAGGAAGTTGACAAAGAAGTGAAGGCTTCAATTAGGGCTATTATCGATAAAAGAGAAAAGGCAATGGAGGCAGGGAAAGCTAATAATGATGACTTATTGGGTATATTGTTGGAATCCAATTTTAAAAATATTCAACAGCATGGGAACACAGATTTTGGATTGAGCACAGAAGAGATAGTCGAAGAGTGCAAACTATTTTACTTTGCTGGCCAGGAGAGCACCTCCTCTTTGCTTTTATGGATGATAGTTTTGTTGGGTAGGCATTTAAGCTGGCAAGCACGTGCTAGGGAAGAAGTTTTCCGTGCCTTTGGTAACGACAAACCAGATTTGGACGGGTTGAATCACCTGAAAGTGGTAAGTATTTTTTTTTTTACATATATATGAAACAACCATATTGGAAACAGTACATGTTATGATATGCATGAATGAAAGAACTGCAATATGTAAAACAACAAGATATGATAGGGTGTCAATAGGTTCTGATGAGCTTTCTTCTAATTTAACCAATTGTCATTTCAACATATGCTCTGATCAAAGCTCGAAAAAGGTTAAAAGTATAATCAAAATATTTGGGGGCATTCTCTGCATTTTGGGAACAATACATTTGTAAAGTATGTTATATTTTCATGGGATTTATTTATTTGCCCCCTCTTAATTTTCCACGATGTATGTGGTTTGTTTGAAAACAGTTTCTCATTTTACCTAAAACCCTTCGTATGTATTTCCCAGGTAACCATGAATTTGAATGAAGTTCTAAGGCTATATCCACCAGTCCCTTCCCTCGCTCGAACTGTTCATCAAGAAACCAAATTAGGAGACTTAAGCCTTCCAGCTGGAGTGCAACTCTTGTTACCAATTTTACAGCTGCATCATGACCGTGAAATATGGGGTGACGATGTTGAAGAATTCAAACCAGAGAGATTTTCTGAAGGAGTGTCCAAGGCATCTAATGGGAAACTCTCCTTTTTCCCATTTAGTTGGGGACCCCGGATATGCATTGGACAAAACGTTGCAATGTTAGAAGCCAAAATGGCACTAGCTATGATTCTACAACGCTTCTCCTTCGAGCTTCCAACATCCTATGCACATGCCCCTCATACTGCCCTAACCCTTCAACCTCAGCATGGTGCTCACATATTTTTACGAAAGCTCTAGCATTCAAAGACTAAGAACACTATAATCCAAGCTCTGTGTTGGTATTACTAGTTCAGGTATGGATGTAAGTTTCTTATGCAAAGTGCAAAGTTTGTGGAACCTAATATCTCATCCATTTAAACTTTGTGGAATAATTTTCACCAATGTCAAAATTATATTATGATAATATGTGTGCAATTGTAGACTAAAATGATTGCTTTTTCAGAGAAATATAGGAATTTAAATATCGATCATTGGAGAGTAGGATGCATATATTTATAAATTGACTATATTTTGTTAGTCACATGAGTTAAATCGGTCCAAGTATAGGGTAAGTGGTTTGAAGATCAGAGATGAATGACTCAGTTTGAGTGGAATACTTAAAGGCGTTTATTGACGATTTGGTAAAGAACTTAAGCACGACTCATTGCAATCACACACCCGTTAGGTGTTGTAAATTTGACTTAGAGACCTTAGTTTGAGATCGTGCTTAAATTTCATAAAATATTTTCCCTATATGATTTGTGACATTTATACTTAGCATGATAATTTTCATAATTAAAACGTGTTTTTGAAGTTTATATGAAGGCTTAAGCATAAGACATGATAAAGCACTGCCTTTGGTGGCTCAACCGAGGTTTTTTGGATAGGTTCCGGCAGAATTCTTGTAATACCCGAGGTCAAAAATGAAAAATAATGATAATAATAGTTATTACAATAAAGCAACCACTAAAACTTAATTAGTGTGAGTGGGGATTAACCAATAAGTCTTTGTTTTAATGGTATTTCTTACCTTATGAAGATTTTGTCTTCTTAAGATCAGGGTTCAAGCCCCCTTCCTCCTCCCAAAAAAAAAAAAGTATGAGTGGGGATTAATTTCTAATTTACCTAATAAAAAGGAGCTAAGTAAATTTTTTTGTAAAACTCAATGAGTAATGCTATTGGGACATAATTTATGAACATAATTTGGTGACATAATGAGTTGTCACCAATGAAATAATAATGAATTCATTTAATGCTATAATATGATTCATCATTAAATACAATTCACTATCATTTCATTGGTGATAACTCATTATGTTCCTAAATTATGTCTCAATAGCATTAGTGAAACTGAATACCACAAAAATACGATGGATTAGTTTTATGATATGAGGCCTTTTATGATGTGAGAGAGAAAAGAAAGAAGAAGGGAAAAAAAAGGGGGGGGGCGGATTGGATCCATTGAAGGTATGAATTCATTAATTATTAGATGGGTTTTATAATTTATTCAATCACATGGCATGGTAATAGGTTTACCACAATTGAAGTGTTTAATAAGTATAAAGGTATGTTCATGGTGAGAAATAATAATAAATATGTAAATGGGTTTTATTGTAAATTGTTAATTTAGGTGTTTTTAGATGCCAAGATTACCATCTAGACACCTCGCTAAAATCGGCAGCATTCATTTTTAAGGTTTTCTTCGTTTTTAACCCTATAAATACCCTATGGGCATTCTTTAGGCTATAATTTAGCAGCTTTCAACCCTAGGAGGCTAAGGAGAGTGGGGAGAATGTAGAAGGCACAGATTTCAAGGGATTTACGAATGAAAAATGAAACAAAACATGTTACAATTAAGATCTAAGGAATCAAGATAAGGGTCCTTTCTTAGATTCATTTATTGCTGATTAGAACTATATAATATATCTTTTTCATCTCTATTATGATATAAATAATAAATCCATATTGTTTTCTTGTTCATTTGATCCTACAATTCATTTCTTGAAACAAAAATACATGTTTTGCGATAAAGATTGCTCGTTCTTGATACAAAATCCTAGTTCTTTATTTACAAATTGATTTAATCGATAAAGCTTCATGATTTCTATATTCCTTTTTAATATATGTTTTGATTCTTGAAGAAACCCATGATTTTATATTCAAATACATGTTTTGCATTCACAAATCATATGTTTTGATTAAAACCCTAGATTTTATGAACACAAAGGTTTCTTTTTACGATCTCTTGCATGTTTTGCTTCGCTATTCTTCTACTTGAAAATTTTGAAACTATGGATTTTGGTATACGTGATTTTTGTGAAAAAGTGTTGTTATTATCTCTTATATGGGTGGGTGTGATGAATGTGGATTATACTTGAATGCACATCGTAGAGTTTTAGAGGTTTTTCTACCTTGAGGTGTTGCCTAACACTAGTAAAGGGTTTGGTTTCCTGCAAGGGCCAACCACTATTTTTTCACATAGGTTTGAGGCTGGGGGTTAGTATTTTATTCCTAGAAAAGGATACGTCAATGTTAATACGTCGGTACACATCATTCCTAAAGTGTTGTAAGCGTTGTGACCCTACGAGGATTGATTTGAGATGGTTTGTATTTGTAGGTGGATGAGATAGGTTCGATGTGTAAATTTATGTTAGTCTACCTACTTCTACTATAAACTTTACTATTTTGTACCATAAACTTGAAATCGTTATTACATGTCACTATTTTATCTCAAAATTATATGTTATTTTATAACTGAGACTTACCTATTTTTATGATTTCTAAACTTTGTTTGAGTTTGAGAGGGTTTTCCTACTAGGCTTATTTGCTTATATATATATATATATATATAAGCATGGCATTATATATGTATATATATTTACATATATATATGTATATATTTTTCAAAACAAAAGTGAAATCTTTTATTTAACACAACCTTACAGAAGTTATATTTAAAGAGGCGGACAAGAATAAAGAAGGAGAAGAGGAGGCTGATTACAAGAAAATGAAAGAATTTTTTTACAAGGAAAGAGAAAGAGAAAGAGAAAGAGAGGATTTCTAAAATCTGATCCCAGACAGACCAAATTGGCACCCTTTATATAAAGGTGGACTTGAAGTCCGGATTTCAAAAAAAATAAAATTACATTATTGACATCATTACATACGTCATCATTACTGTTTATGACGTCATTGCTTACGTAATCCTTTTGCCTCCATCTCTTTGATGCTGATGCTTGCTAATACTGTCCTCTTTTACCTTTGTAATATGTCAACGTAAATCGTAAAGATTATCACAGTCTTGGAGGTTGATCTCCATATCTTTGTTTAAAGGTGTATAACATGTTATAGGGGTATAAACCTGAGAGTTCATAAGGTCTTCATCGGAATCAGACGCTAATTTTCGTCTGTCTGTTTCTCCGACCTTTTCTTTGCCATTATCTTTGATATTTATAGTGAGAGTACTAACCAGATCCATCCCTTCATTTTTACTCATTCCAAAAGTTGACAACATTTGCAGTCTTATTTCTTCCATGACTGTTGCTTTAACCTGGTCTGGTTTTATATGGGGTTTTTCCTTTAAAATGTTTTCTTTAAGAATCTCAATTGGATTTAATCCAGTACTTGTGCTTGGTATTATTTCTTTAGAAGTTACTTCTTCTTCTTTCATGTCTTTAAGACACTCGGCCATAACCGAAATTTTCTCATGAAGAGGATAATTATTCCAGAATCTTACCTAGTATTCCCTTAACAATCTGGGATGTCCATTTCGATTAATGTCACAACTAAAACTCCATACCCAAACCCAAGGTACAAAGTACTCAATTATGAAGTTCAAAATGAGTTTATCCTTGATCTTATTATCCTTTAAGGATGGAATTTTCTCTTTATAAATTTGAAATAATTCTTTCATCTCAAGAGGGTATATCTCTTCAACGGCCCCATGAGTTTTCCACCAAGCATAAAACCAGTTAGGGAACTCAGAAAAGGTTTAAAAAAATACGAAAAACCATGTGTGAGTCAAGGACGGACTTTGATAACAAATGACATTTTGTTAGGTTTCCATATAATCGAAGTAATTATAGGCAGAATATGGATATCTAGTTAACTTTCTAGGTTTGCCTAGACTTATTCCCCTATCTGTTTCGGATATAATCCTTAATAATACTACCTTGATATAAGCAATGTTTTATGGATCATAATTCTTTTCATAGAAATGTTCAAATTTAATTGAATCAGTTTCTTTAAGAAATAATTCATAAAATCTTCAATCTCGGTTACCGGTAACAAGCATGGCATTATCTATGTCAAAAAATTGTTTTGCAATATAGTAAGGGTCTTTAACCCAATAAATATACTTATCTTTCAATATTATAATTGGATCAAATATTGGTAGAGTGTTTAACTGTGTATAATTTATTACTGGTTTGGCTATTAAGGCCTCCTTCATTGACTTCTTACTTCTGACGACTATATATTTGTCTTGTTCTTTTTTACTAGATGACATTTTTTAAGAAGTTGTTGATTTACAGATTTAATCTATTTTGAGGCATTTAATGGAAGGTAATACGCATTGACCTAGGTTCTTCATCCCCCAAATCTTCCTCTTCCGCAACCTTGGCCACAGGAATTACCTCGTCCTCTGATCATGGTGATCTCTGCAAAAACTCTCTTGTTAGGAAATCATGAAGGAATTTTAATTCACCTTTTACATATTCTATTTTAAAGCCAAATACTGATAAAATAGCTTGCCATCTAGCAAATATTTGTTTAGAAGCAATATTTTTTACGACTTGTTCTAAAACATTTTTAGTCGAACTACATTCAATTCTTAGTAAGAATTCTTGGTTTAATAAATCATCCTGATATTTACTAATTCATTTTACTATGAATAAAACTTCTTTTTTAATAGTAGAATAATTTAATTGAGCCCTTTCCCATTTTCTTGAAGAAATTTAATAAGGGTTTCTTTATTGTTAATAGGATTCCTTTGTTTAAGAATATCTCCATATACTTTATTTGAGGCGTCAGTTTCTACTATCTTATACCACTCTGAATTAGTTAAAGATAAACATGGTCATTTTTTAGCTTTAAGCTTAATTTTTCTTACTACTTTTGTGTGAAGATTTGTCCATAGAGACAGATTCTTCTAAAGTGTTGAATATAGAATAGTTGTATCTGGAGCTAAATTTTATAAAAGTCTGTTAAGTAATTAAGACTTCCTACAAACCTTTGTAATTGTTTTTTTATCTTTAATC